CCGCCGCCGTAGCTGCCGCGCCCCCGGCTCCGGCCGCCGCCTCCACGGTGGACACAGCGGCCCTCAAGCAGCCCCCGGCGCCCCCTCCGCCACCCCCACCCGTGTCGGCGCCTGCGGCCGAGGCCGCACCCCCCGCCTCCGCCGCCACCATCGCCGCGGCGGCGGCCACCGCCGTCGTAGCCCCAACCTCGACGGTCGCCGTGGCCCCAGTCGCGTCTGCCTTGGAGAAGAAGACAAAGAGCAAGGGGCCCTACATCTGCGCTCTGTGCGCCAAGGAGTTCAAGAACGGCTACAACCTCCGGAGGCACGAAGCCATCCACACGGGAGCCAAGGCCGGCCGGGTCCCCTCGGGTGCTATGAAGATGCCCACCATGGTGCCCCTGAGCCTCCTGAGCGTGCCCCAGCTGAGCGGAGCCGGCGGGGGAGGGGGAGAAGCGGGTGCCGGCGGCGGCGCGGCCGCAGTGGCCGCCGGTGGCGTGGTGACCACGACCGCCTCGGGGAAGCGCATCCGGAAGAACCACGCCTGCGAGATGTGCGGCAAGGCCTTCCGCGACGTCTACCACCTGAACCGACACAAGCTGTCGCACTCGGACGAGAAGCCCTACCAGTGCCCGGTGTGCCAACAGCGCTTCAAGCGCAAGGACCGCATGAGCTACCACGTGCGCTCACATGACGGCGCTGTACACAAGCCCTACAACTGCTCCCACTGTGGCAAGAGCTTCTCCCGGTGTGCACGGGGCCTTGGCCGCCCACTAGGCCATGGGGAGGGAGGGACACGACAGAGGTGGCCTGGCCGTGGCTGGCGGGGAGGGAGGTGGCTGCTGAGGCTGGGGAAGGGGAGCCCCTCCCAGGGCGGAGGGAGGAAGCCTCTCCGGGTTACCAGGGAGCAGGGGGTGGTCCTTTGCCGAGGAGGTGGGCCTTGGGGTTGACGGAAGCTTCTCGTGGGAGGAGGCGGCCGCGGCTGCCGGGCTGGATGGGAGGGATTTTCTGTCGAAGTGGCGCTGTGACGGCCCGGGCTCCGGGAGGTGGCGCAGGGATCTTCGGAAAGGCCTGTGGTGCAGTTTGGCGGATATGGGGCTCACCGTTTCCGCCCTAACCCCAACCCCAACGTGTCCCCAGGCCGGATCACCTCAACAGTCACGTCAGACAAGTGCACTCAACAGAACGGCCCTTCAAATGTGAGGTAGGAAGCCCGCCGCCTCCAGTCCTGGTTTTCATAATTTTGATCCTCATGGTAGCTGTCTGAGTTCAGCCTCTCAGACCCCCTTTTTCTCTCTCTTCTTTTTGCTTTTTCACTCCATTTTCTCATTCCTTCTTCAAGGCCTCGTCATCTCACTCCCGTTTCCTACAGATCAAAGATCCCCAAGGCTCTGATTCCTTTAACCTCTTGCTCCCCTCTCCCCAGCACTCAAAACTTTAACTCTCCTGTGACACCCCCCACGCCCCTCCCCCCTCCCCAGAAATGTGAGGCAGCTTTCGCCACGAAGGATCGGCTGCGGGCGCACACAGTACGACACGAGGAGAAGGTGCCATGTCACGTGTGTGGCAAGATGCTGAGCTCGGCTTATATTTCGGACCACATGAAGGTGCACAGCCAGGGCCCTCACCATGTCTGTGAGCTCTGCAACAAAGGTACATGCTGAGGGCTGACGGGAGGGCCAGGGGCAGAGGGTGGGCGCCTGGCCAGACGCCCTGCCACTGATACAGATTAAGGGTGCTGTAGTCAAGAGCTCGTGGCGTCTAGAGTCCTCCAAGAGGTCAAGGGAGCAGCGGAAGGGGGGCACCTGAATGAGCGTCGTTAGGCTCTAAGAAGTCCTGGCTGGAGGAGACGGTCTGCCGGAGAGGTTGAACCTCCTGGGCATGTGTAGGGAGAGCGGGAGTGGAACTTGGCTGCTTTGGGTAAGGAGTAGTCAGGGAAGCCAGTTCCAGGGGACACAAGGCAAGGTTTCCGCCAGGCAGCCACAAGGTCTTGTCTCCAGCTCTTGGGGCAGGTGGAATACACGGGCTTGGCTTCACCAGCACACATCCTGCCCAGGTAGCAGAGAAAGCTGCCTTCAGTCAGACTCACTGGCTAATTGGGTTGAGACTGAGGGGCACTGGAGGGAAGGGGACACAGCCGTCTCTGCTGAGGGTCAACCTTCTAAGTAGCTAGGAGTCAGTGTCCTGTCATCTTGGGAGAGGTTTCCCAGCCATGAAGAGTGAGCTCTGTAGGTAACCAGGCTGAGAAGCAGGCACCGCGCAAGCCAGGCCCCAGGCTCAGGGAGGGGCTGTACCCACCAGCCTCAGCAGAGCAGTTGGCCCCAGGCTACCAAGGATGCTGTGGGAAGAGGACAGGGCCATCTGAGGAGGGCATCCCCTGCCTAGGAGATCAGCCCCGTCTCTGGGGTCTCCGTCTCTGGGCTGACCCCCGCCCCATCCCAATCCACCCCCCAATAGGCTTCACCACGGCAGCATACCTGCGCATCCACGCGGTGAAGGACCACGGGCTCCAGGCCCCGCGGGCTGACCGCATCCTGTGCAAGCTGTGCAGCGTGCACTGCAAGACCCCTGCCCAGCTGGCCGGCCACATGCAGACCCATCTGGGGGGGGCCGCCCCCCCTGTCCCAGGAGACGCCCCCCAGCCACAGCCCACCTGCTGAGGGGGACCCTGCACCCACCAGGCAAGGCGTGGGGCATGGCTGGGGGGCGGGATGGGGGGTGTGGGGGACAAGGGGGCTCAAAGGGCCCAATAGGGGATCTCAGGAAGGCAAGGGATGCCCATGTGCCACTCAGGCTAGGGAGACTTCCAGGCACAGGGAAGACCCTTGAGAACTCTTCTGTCTGGGTGAGGATGCAGGCTGAGGCCTCTGGGGACCAGATAGGAAGTGAGGAACGGCTGTGTCCCAGGGGAAGCAGGTTGGGAAGGTCTGGGGTGAGGGCAAGGCTCTTGCCATTCAGATTTCGCTGTGATCCGTGGTGTTTCTCCTGCAGGTACTGGTGAGGTTTGTCCAATGGCGGCGGCGGCGGCAGCGGCAGCAGCAGCAGCAGCAGCAGCTGCGGCAGCAGCAGTAGCAGCTCCTCCCACAGCTGTGGGCTCCCTCTCGGGGGCAGAGGGGGTCCCTGTGAGCTCTCAGCCACTTCCCTCCCAGCCCTGGTGAGCTCCAAGTTGGTTGCGGGGGAGAGGGGAGAATGGAGTAGAGTCCCTTGGTACAGGCTCCTCTCCCCCCTCTTTTCCCACCAACTCACTACTTCCCCACCAACCAAGGAGCCTCCGGAAGGAAAGGAGGAAGAAATGTTTTAGGGGAATTCGCTAGGTTTTAACGATTTGTTTCTCCTGCTCCTCTCTTCTATCAGACCTGACCCCACACAAACCTGTCCCTTCAATTGTGTTGAAGTCCCCTGGACAGTGGGCAGGGGTGGCAGAGGACAGGAGCAGCCACTGCCCGTACCCCCTCTCCTCTCTGTAAGCCTGTGCCCTGTCCTCCCAGGGACTTGTGAGCCTCTTCCCTCAATGGTTCTCTCACTCTCCTTCCAATCCTCTCCCCGCGCTGTCTGCTGCCCCTCCCTGGGGAGTTGGTGCTTTCTTTTCCTTTTTTTTTTTTTTTTTTCCAGGGGGAGGGAGGAGAGAAAGGAGGGAGATCAGAGCTTCTGTCCCAGAGAGGGAAAGTGGTGAGGTTTGAGGAGGGGCAGAAGCAGGGCCCGCAAAGGTTGTACCTTCATAAGGTGGTAGGGAGTTTGGGGTCAGGCCCTGAACATCGTCCTACCCCTGTCAGGGGAAAAAGTTCAGGGGAGCAGAAGGAGGAGCCAGGAGGGCCAGAGGCAGAGGAGAGATGGAGTTTTAGGGGCCAGGGTGAGCGAGGGGTCCAGGGCCTAGAGGTGCTTCCTGGGGGTGGGGGAATGCAGCCAGTGTCCCCCTCCCCTCTTCCACCCCAGCTCCAGCCCTGGTCTTGTCTTTTCATCCCTCTTCCCCACGACAGAAGCTGTGGCCCTGGCCATGTCATCGTGTTCCTGTGTCCCCTGCATGTACCCCACCCTCCACCCCCTCCTTTTGCGCGGACCCCATTACAATAAATTTTAAATAAAATCCTGTTTCTGGTTCTGGATTGAATGAATTGCCCTCACCAAGCAACTGCCTCCACTCCTAAGGGTTTCTTCCCGGTCCGGTGTCAGTCCAGCCTTGCTCTGTCCTGTGCGGCTGTGGGGTTCTGGGTCCGCCTTCCCCAGGGGCAGCCCTAGTGGCGGCAGCACACATTTAGGGTGGGGCCAAGGCTACCGAGGCTGTGGAGCGCAAGTTCCAGGTCTCTGGGGAATTCCCAATCGGGACAAACCCAGAATAACCCCTGCGGGTTTGAAGAGGCCCCATTAGAAACCCAAACAGCTGCCAGACGAATACCGCCCTCTGTCTACACCCGTGGCCACTACTCAACCCCCAGCCGCATCCTTCCCTGCTCCCGTCACAGCCCTGAGGCCATGGTGGGCGATGCGGCTGCGGAAAGGCCGAGGAGTCCCGAGCTCTGTGGCTGTTGCCAGATTCAGAATGAAAGCTGCACCTGTCCCTCATCCTGGGCGTGGGCCACCCTATGTTTACACGGGCTCCTCTGCCCAGCCCCCTCCTGTTCCAGGCCGGCCCTGCAGCCTCTGCCCTGCCCCTTGGAATTCCCTTTCCTAACACTGCTTCGTCCTTTCCAGGGCCCCTTTTTTTGAGCCCGTTTCTGCTGCTGCTTTCTGCAGGCTCCGTTCTCTTGAAACCCAACCCTGCGCCGCTTCTGCAGCCTCCCCGCGTCTTGCCCCATCTTCCTTGCTCTCCTCGTAGGGGCACCTCCACCCGGTCCTGCCTGCCTCACTGGTCCCGTATCCTCGCAGAACCCTCTTCGTTTTCCCCAAATCCCCGACTCTTCCAGGAATGCCGGTGACCGTTGACGGGAGGGGCCGGGGACTTAGGAAGGAGGCCGCCCCGCCTGGAGGCGCGCGTGGGAAGGGGCAGGGAGGGGGCACGAGTGGTCCCCGGGCTGGTTGCCTGGGTAACGCGTGGCTCCTTTGGGCTAGCGGGAGGGGCCGGAGGCTCGCGAGGGGCGGGGGCGGCGTGCGGCGGCGGCGGAGGAGCGTAGGGGAGGGGACCGGAGAGGAGGGGATGAGCACAAGGGAGGGGAGAGGAGGGAGACCCGCCGCCTCCCTCCCTCCCTCACTGACTTGCTCCCTCCCGGGCTGCGGCTGCTGTAAAAGCCAGCAGAGGCAGCGGGAGTTGTCCCGAGGCCGGCGTCGAGGTGAGACCCGGGCAGACTGAGGCTGCGGGTAGGAGCGGACCGACCGACGGCCGACGCCGGGCGGGCTGCTTGGGAATGCGGGTGTCAGAGGGCTGGTGGTGGTGCTGGGCGGGCTGAAGCATCGGGAGAAGGCGCCAGCCCACCGAAGGCGAGGGAAGCCCCGGGAGAGGGGCTGACAGGGGATCGGAGGAGATAACCAAGTCCCCCAGGGAGGGGCGGGGGCGTCCTCGCCCTAAACGCGCAGCTAGAAAACCCGCACCGCCTGGGCGCACCGGGAGGAGGGGAGGATGCAGAGGGAGTGGAATGCGAATGTCGGGTTCTCTGCCCAGTCTGCCTTTCGGAGTGTTGGGTGTTTGCACAGCTCGTTGATTTTGGGATACTGGGGCATCGGCTGAGATCTAAGAGTCTGGATCTTGTTAGATGGACCCAGGGAAAGACCATGGAGAAGGTCCTGTTTACAAAAGGGTTAATCTTCCCCAGGGCTCTCCAAGCGGAAGACTTAGAGTAGGAGCACTCCACCCCCAGGGATGTCCCACCCTAAGGCAAAGGAAACCCCAACTTTTCTTACTTTCCCTAGAGGCATTGCAAGCCTGGCCCTGAGACAGGAATGTGGCCCAATTGGGCCTGCAGTGCTGAGCGCCCTCTTCCCTCCTCACCCCAAGCCTGTCTTCTCATCTTCCAGGGTTCGCGGCTGTCTCTGCTATTCCATCCTCCCCATAGGGGTTCTCTCCCCTCTCCCATTTCAAGATGGCAACCACCAGCTCTGAGGTCTCTGAAATGAAGGGGGTTGAGGAGAGTCCCCAGGTTCCAGGTGAAGGGCCTAGCCGTTCTGAAGCTGAAACTGGCCCTCCCCAGGTCCTAGCAGGGGTCCCAGACCAGCCAGAGGCCTCGAAGCCAGGCCCAGATACCACTGCAGCCCCTGTGGACTCAGGACCCAAGGCTGGGCTGACTCCAGAAACCACAGAGACCCCAGCTGGGGCCCCAGAAACAGCCCAGGGCTCAGACCTCAGCTTAAGCCCAGGAGGGGAATCAAAGGCCAACTGCAGCCTGGAAGAGCCATGTCAAGAAACAGTGTCCAAACCAGAAGTGAGCAAAGAGACCATTGAAGACAAGGGGTCCAGGCTTGAGCCTGCAGCCCCACCTGAGCCAGTCCCAGAGCCTGCTCCCCAGCCAGACCCCCAGCCAGATTCCCAGCCCACCCCCAAGCCAGACCTTCAACCAGAGCTCCCTACCAAGGAAGACCCCACTCCTGAGATTCTGTCTGAGAGTGTAGGGGAAAAGCAAGAGAATGGGGCAGTGGTGCCCCTGCAGGCTGGCGATGGGGAAGAGGGCCCAGCTCCTGAGCCTCACTCACTACCCTCAAAAAAATCCCCCCCAGCCAATGGGGCTCCCCCCCGAGTACTGCAGCAGCTGGTTGAGGAGGATCGACTGGGAAGGGCACATAGTGGGCATCCAGGATCTCCCCGAGGTAGCCTGAGCCGCCACCCCAGCTCCCAGCTGGCAGGTCCTGGGGTGGAGGGGGGTGAAGGCACCCAGAAACCTCGAGACTACATCATCCTTGCCATCTTGTCCTGCTTCTGCCCTATGTGGCCTGTCAACATTGTGGCCTTCGCTTATGCTGTCATGGTGAGCCCCATGGGACCCTGGCCCAAGCCTGCTGTGGCTCCCGACTTCCCACCAGTGCTGGGACAGAGGCCCAGGAGTAACCATGCCTTTCCTCCCCTCTCTCTGCATGGATCCCACCTCCCCAATTCCAGGGCCTTTGTTTGCCTCTCCCTAGGGCCTAACCCTCTGAGCCACCACTGCCCTGCCCCTTTGGGTGGGAGGGATATGGAGACACACATGTCACACAGCCTTGCTGACCTGTGCCCTCCTTCCTCTGCCCCTCCTCTCCCCCTTCCTCCCTTATCCTCCGTCCATGGGGCTGGCCTCTCTCTTCTGGATGACTTTTCCACCTGATCCCCTTCTGGGCTGGCTTCTCCTGACCCTGGCCATGTGCCTCCACCCCTCACCCTAACCCCAGTCCCGGAACAGCCTGCAGCAGGGGGACGTGGATGGGGCCCAGCGTCTGGGCCGTGTGGCCAAGCTCTTAAGCATCGTGGCGCTGGTGGGGGGAGTCCTCATCATCATCGCTTCCTGCGTCATCAACTTAGGCGGTGAGTGGGGGCTTGGGACAGGCAGGGGAGGAGTGGAAGGGTTGGCAAGGGCAGCTTTACTAACCCCTGCCCCTGCTCTCTCCTGTCTGTCCTCCTTACCTCTCCTTTGTCGCTCCTTGTCCCCCTGCCCATCTGTCCTTCCCTCTCCTCTCCCACAGTGTATAAGTGAGGGGCTCTGCCCTGAATCCCAAGACTTTTCTTCTTGTTGGGAGCTGCCTTGGGCCCATCCCTCCCCTGGGGGAAGCCCAACTGATGGCCCTGGCCCCCACCCCTAAGGACCAAGGGAGCCTGAGCGGCCTTGTTTACAGCTTCTGTCCTGCTCCTGCATCTTGCCAGGCTCTTCTGCCAACTGTAGGCCTCCCTCATCCCTGCACTGGTTCCAACCTCCCTGCACTTCTGCCTGCATCCCCTGCAGCCTCCTGGCCCCCATCCCTGCACTTCTGGAAACCTCCCTGCACCCTGGAAACCTCCCTGAACACCTCCCCAACTCTTCGCTCTCAGCCTCCCTGCATCTCTCCCGGCTGGCCTCCCTGCACTTCTTCCAGCCTCTCAAATTCTCTGGACCTCCACCCTGGCCTCCTCCTCCCAACTTTCATTGTCTTGGCATCCTCTCCACCCCCAAGTCCTCTCTTCCTTCCCTTCTTTATCATCTCCCCTTCCCTCTCCGCTTCCCACCCCCTTCCTCTTCCTGCCTCCTCATCTCCCCTAAGGCATCCTCTTCTCCACCCTCCCGGCACCGTTTCCTCTGCAAAAATGACAGCACTTAGATCAGGCTGGGGGGTGGGGAGCAGTGCTGGGAGAGGGCTCCCCAACCCCGGGCTCCGACTGTTCTCCGCTGGGACCGCCCAGGCTCGGACACCCAAGGGTGCCTTGCAGGTCGCAGAGCTGGCAAGCCGGGCCTCGTGTGGGGACTTCTGCGAGGGTGGCGAGCACCGGTTCCGAACGCGCGCAGGGGAGAAGGGAGGGACAAGGCGCTGACCCTTCCCAGGTCAGCTGGAGTTGACTCGCCCACCTGGGCTTTTCAACCCCAGTCTGCGAGTTTTTCATGAAGGTGTCGGGCTAGATTTCTTCACGTGTTTCGTAATGAAAGAACCCAAAAAATAGGACCAAAGCTCCCACTGGCAGGAGCGAGGGCGGGGCGGGGAGCTCTATAATTACTTTCTAAGATGACGGGGGAGGTTTGTTGCACGCGACAGCCCGCTGAGGAGGCGGGGACCGAGCCACAGCATGGTTCAGATTTGGCGGGTTTGTTTTTTTTATTTTTCCCTAAAAAAAAAAAAAGTCTGGGGGAAAAAGAAACTAAAATTCTTTAAAATATATATATATATCAAATTGATTTATCCCTTTTTGTATGCCGGATGTTGCATGAGTCTGAAACACCAATAAACGGAGACTGCATGAGACTCGCCTCCAGTCTCGGTTGGTTTCTGTGTTTGTCCCGCCGGCGAGGCGGTGCTGCCTCTCTTCCCGCAGAACGTTTTTTTGTGTGATATGCGCATGCGCCGTCCCGGTGGCCATCTTTACTATGGGCCGAAGCCTGCGCGCCTACTCGCGCATGTGCAAGCCTTCCCTCGCTTTCCTCTTCAAGTAGCCTTGAGTGGAGCGGAGCCTCCCGCGCCATTTCTGTGCGCCTGCGTACTGTGACCCTGCGCAGCCCGGGAGGCGGGTCTTAGCCCCAGGTGCGTACGGTCGCTGAATTGACGCGGCCTAGAACTGCGAGGTCTGGGGAGAGGGCGCCGCGTCCAGGTGTGGAGAGGGGCGGCGTGGAAGCGAGAAGAGTGGACCGCCCTTTTCTTCCCCTTCTCGGGCTCGGAAAGTGGTTTCTGCGGGGCCCGGGAGTGTCAGAGTACCGGACCTCGATCCCCGGGGCGGGGTCCTTGGCGGGGACTGAGCGCCCCCTCCCGGGGACGGGCGGTCTGGCCGCGGAGTCCTTTGTGGGATCCTGATTGGCTGAAGACGGTCCCTAACTCCCCCGGGGAGCCTGATCCCTGGGGGACCCTGGCTTCGGACTCAGCATCTGTCGTCGCAGGGTCCCTGCCCTAGGGCCCTATGTCCCTTGCCCGGGGCCATGGAGACACTGCGGCCACCACGGCGGCGCCTCTGTCTGAAGAAGGGGAAGTGACCTCCGGCCTCCAGGCTCTGGCCGTGGAGGATACCGGAGGCCCCTCCGCCTCGGCCGCTAAGGCCGAGGACGAGGGAGAAGGAGGCCGAGAGGAGACCGAGCGTGAGGGGTCCGGGGGCGAGGAGGCGCAGGGAGAAGCCCCCAGTGCCAGTGGGGAAGAGCCCACCCAGGGGGACTCCGAGGACTGGTGTGTGCCCTGCAGCGACGAGGAGGTGGAGCTGCCCGCGGATGGGCAGCCCTGGATGCCCCAGCCCTCCGAAATCCAGCGGCTCTATGAACTGCTGGCTGCCCACGGTACCCTGGAGCTGCAAGCAGAGATCCTGCCTCGCCGGCCGCCCACGCCCGAGGCCCAGAGCGAAGAAGAGAGATCCGATGAGGAGCCGGAGGCCAAAGAAGAGGAAGAGGAAAAGTAAAAGCACACTCTTACACCTTGTCCCGGGGCTGCTCCCTGATGGCAGGAGGAAGTAGGGAGGGGAAAATATGGGACCCAGGAGCCTGGAAAGCGGAGGGAGGGAAGCCAGCGAGGGAGGAGGACTGGGCAGGGGAGAAGCACATGTGTGGGTGGGGGGGAGGACCGCCCTCATCCTCCACTCTGTTCACCTGTCCCAGACCACACATGCCCACGGAATTTGATTTTGATGATGAGCCAGTGACACCGAAGGACTCCCTGATTGACCGGCGACGCACCCCAGGTACAAAGGAGAGGGGAGGGTTGGGGAGGTGAAGGGTCTCGGCTCGGTTACCCCAGATCGGCTCCCCTAGAGGCCTTTGCTTGCTGCCTCAGCTGCCACATAACTTCAGCTACAGGAGAGAGCATTCACCAGTACTACCATCTTTATGACTTAGACTACTACCTTGTCTTCTTTTTTTTGTTTTAAGACAGAGTCTTGCTCTTGTCGCCCAGGCTAGAGTGCAATGGCACGATCTCAGCTCACTGCAACCTCCACCTTCCGGGTTCAAGCAGTTCTCCTGCCTCAGCCTCCAAGTAGTTGGGATTAGAGGCGAGCCACCACGCCGAGTTTCACCATGTTGGCCAGGCTGGTCTCTTAACTCCTGACCTCGTGATCCACCCACCTCCGCCTCCCAAAGTGCTGGGATTGCAGGCGTGAGCCACTGTGCCCAGCCCCTTGTCTTCCTTTAAGAGAT